TGTAACTGTTGGGAGTGTACCGCTCAGTAGCATCACGTACGTTCACACTGTTGTACCTGATGTTCGCTGTCGTCTCCAGAACTTTTTCATCTTCCCAACCGAACGGCTGTCCCCGTTCAACACGGGCTCCCCTTCCTGCTGCCCCGGCCCCGGCAGCCGCCGTTCTGCCTTCTGTCTCCGTACGTTCGACGGCTCTAGTACCTCCTGAAAGTGGAATCACATAGAGTCACCCCCTTTGTGACTCAGTGATGGTAGACAGTGTCTTCCAGGTTCACCCGTGTTGTCCACGTGTCAGAATTCCCTTTTCAAGGCTGACGGGTATTCTGTGGCACCAATCCAGCACCCTCTGTTCCTCGTCGGTGAGCACTTGGGTTGCCGCCACCTCTTGGCTGTTGTAGGAAACGGCTTGGCCGTGTGGAGGCGAGGCCGGCTTTCTCTGCCTCCTGTGAGGTAGGCGAGGTGGAGACCCTGTGCCCCGCGGGAGGGAGGGAGGGAGGGAGGTGTGTGCGGGTGCCTGTGTCCCTCTGTCTGTCTCAGTTTATGTAAACGGTGTGTAAAAGCCCTGTCTTACACCCAGAGAAACTCTCCCTGCCCCCCGGCTTGTCAGGAACTCTTGGTGGGCGGGGGGGGCAGGTGGCCTCTCCTCCCGGTCCTGACGCCCAGGTGTTCACTGCTCAGCAGCGCCCCCCCCCCCACCTGTGCCTCCTGTACCGGGATGGCCTGTTACTGTAGCCCCAAGGCCGCGGGGGTGGTGGGAGGTCCCTCCTGTAGCCTGGCAGTCCGGGGCCAGAGCCAGTCCTGTAATTTCCTGGCCGTGTGACGCTGGCTCAGTCATTCATCTTCTCGTAAGCTCGGTCTTTGCATCTAAGGGGAGGTGTTTGTGTGTGTGAGGTGGGGGGGGGGGAGGGGAGAGAATGAAACACAGCATACCAAAAGCTGTTAGCCCAGCACTGGGCTTATGGCATACATTTTTAAAAAGACGTTAGCCCTGGCTAGTGGCTCAGTGGTTAGAGCAGGTTCTATTCCTGGTCAAGGGCGAGTACTTGAGTTGCAGGTTCGATCCCCACCCTTGGTCCGGTGCACGTGGGAGGCAACCAGTTGGTGTGTCTCTCGCACATCGATGTTTCCCTCCCTCTTGTCCTCCCTCCCCCTCACTCTTTCTCTGGAAAGCAATGGGGAGATGTCCTCGGGCGAGGATGAACAGAAACATAAATTTAAAAAACCTTTCTACCTTTATTCTTCCCTTCTCCACCAGCCGGTGAACACGGTGCCAGGGGAGACCTTGTGTTTCGCTTATGTGGCTCCCCGGGCCTACACTGTGGGGACACGGTAGCGGCTGCCCGGTGAGGGCTCGTCAGCCTTACGGTGAACACAAACGTGAGACAAAGGCCAGGCCCCAGCAGGGCTTTTCCGCAGTGACCCGAGCGGCAGGACGCCCGGGGTGCACGCAGGCCCGAGGGACCGCTGAAGGGAGGTGACTTAGTTGGGTGGGTACGTTCTGACTTGTTTGGAACACAAGAGCCCAGCACCGGCCTCATTACTTGTTGGTCATCACCTTGTCTGTACGCGGAGTGCTTTTCAAAGATTATTCGTTGGAACTTTACAAACAGGCCAGTTGTCCGATGTCTTGGCAAGAACACCTCTCCCAGTGGCTTCAGGAGTTTTCACAAAGTGAAGTGCTCTCCTTGGAGAGCTGTTTTGATCAGTCGCCGAGGGCTCGAGGGCGGGGAGAACTGACTCAGCCCCGTGCTGACCGAGTCCAGACACCAGTGAAGTGGGGGGCTTGTGTGCTGGGGGAAATTGAATGGTTGGTGATGGGAACAAAGAACATTCAAATCCTTCTTTCTGGGCCCCCTCCCTCCCCACCCTCCCCCAAGGGCACCTGTCTGGTTTGACCAATGAATCCTACTAGCCTCCAGGCGTAGTTGGGGGCTCAGGCGGGGAGAGGGGCACAGTGAGCGTTGTTGGGGTTCCCCTCGCCAGGGGGAAGGCAGGGAGAAGGTTCCAGCACCAGAGCTCTGCGTGGACGGGACAGGCTGCTCCGCCACGGCAGGTGGCCCAGCTCCGTGGTCCGAGCAACTGAGGAGCACGATGGGCTCCTGCTGCCGTCAGGGCTGCCTGGGCCCCGGGGCTCCCGAGACCCCTCCCCTCCCCTCCCCTCCCCTCCCCTCCCCTCCCCTCATGGCCTTAGTGTTTATTATCCAGCAGAACGGGGTGGCTTTTCTCTTCATCTCACCCACGTGGGGCTGTTCATCCTCAGGAAACAGGCAGATGGGGAGCTTTCTCCTGTGTCTCAGTAAAAATACGCAAGAACCGAAAGGGTTGCTGCGGAAACTCCCTCGGCTGGTCCTGCAGACCCTGGTTCGGGGCAGCTCTTCCCGTCCCTGCGGGGGTTGGGGGGCTCCTCGGAGGTGCGTGCGGTGCCCTTGGACCTCGGTCTTTGTTGTCTTGGTCACAGGCCGCACACAGTGGCCCTTCAAAGTGAGGTGCCCAGGCTGGGGGTGCTGCCCAGGCTGGGGGACCCGCGCCCAGGCTGGGGGTGCCACCCAGGCTGCGGGGCCTGCGCACTGGGTCCTGGGTGGCCCTGTCTCTGTGCCAGGCGGGGTCTCGGGAGGCGGAGGTGCAGGTCTCCGGGTCAGTGGGGCTGGTGGGACTGGGCTCAGGGCCTCCTCCGCGGTGCTGGCCGCAGGTTGCAGGGCCAGAGCAGATTTTGTCTCTGAGCTCACACACCTTCCTTGACTGTGGGCACCCGAGTCCTGTGGAGAAAGCTGCTCCTGGGACAGGAGGCGGAGTGTTTCCAGGCCGCCCTGCGCCCGGGGGGGGGTGGGGGGGGGCAGAGACGGGCCGGGTGTCACGTGGGCCCGCGGCAGGTGGCACACAAGACCCCAGGCCTGACCGGCCCCTTTCGAGGCCTTGGTGGCCAGTAGGTCCTGGGTGAGATTTGTTTGCCTCCAAGGCTGGGAGCCGTGGATCATGCTGCCCAAAGACCTCCCGGCGCGAGGAAGGCGCGGCTCCTGCCTCCGCCGCATTCAGCCCTATGACCCCTTCACTCAGTGACCAGAGTTGATGTTGCTCTGAGCGTATCGCAGCCGAGTGTAAGTGATGCTGTAAGAAGACACTGTTTTGCCCTGGACAGGCTCAGTGGTTAGAGCAGCCGTGGGCAAACTACGGCCCGCAGGCCGGATCCGGCCCATTTGAAATGAATAAAACTAAAAAAAAAAAAAGAGACCGTACCCTTTTATGTAATGATGTTTACTTTGAATTTATATTAGTTCACACAAACACTCCATCCATGCTTTTGTCCCGGCCCTCCGGTCCAGTTTAAGAACCCATTGTGGCCCTCGAGTCAAAAAGTTTGCCCACCCCTGGGTTAGAGCGTGGGCCCACAGACCAAGGGGCTGGGGGTTCGATTCCCAATGAAGAGCACATACCTCGGTTGCACGTTTGATCCCCGGCCCTGGTGGGGCATGTTCAGGATGTTTCTATGTCTCTCCCCCTACCCCCACTTCTCCCTTCCACTCTCTCAAAATCAATGGAAAAAATATCCTCTGGTGAGGATTGAATGAATGAATGAATGAATGAGAATGTTCCATGTTTTGCACACAGATTCCATACTGGAAACCCAAGGCAGCAGTGGCTTGCGCCACATCCGTGAGGTGGGAGTGGTCCACGGTGTCCGCACTGCCTGGAGGCTCAGCCGCTGCCCATAACTCTCCTTTTCCTCCGGCCCTGCTGCACCTCGCCCTCTGCTCGGCCCTTCCCTTTGCCATTGAAGCAGCCACAGGGGGCCCCCAGGGCGTGGTAGCAAGGCCACACTTACCACGCAGGACAACCCCAGGGAGGTGGACACACACCCAAGCCCTCTGCGATGCCTTCTTCCAACGTCACGCATAGCGACGTCGTCCACTTCCCAGAGCAGTTGGTCAGGCTGGAGGCAGGGTCAGAGTGGAGGGGACCCTGCGGGTGGTCTGTGCTGGGGAGAGGGGCCTCACAGGGCAGCCTGAGGGGGTCCGGGCCTCTCAGAGGGTGGGGAGGCGCTGCAGGAGCTTCGTGTCCCCCCCTTCACGCCCCCTCCCCAGCTTAAGGAAGCTTGAATGGGCTGATCCTTTGAATCCTTCCCGTTTCCCCAGGCCCGAGGCCCGGCTGGCCTGTGAACTACGCGGACCCAGTCCTGTCGTGCTGTTCTGTGAGCCCAGGGGAGTTTTTCCACTTCCTTCGGTGGAAACCGCGACCTCCTTTTCAGGCAACACCAGACAGGCCAGCAGCGGCTCCGGCCCTGGGTGTCTGGGGGTGGAGACGTTCCTCAGCAGCCGGAGCCAGGCTTGTTGAGGCAGGTCGGTGCCTCTGTGCCTGCCCCCGGCCCACCCGCCGCCAGCGCCTCATCACAGCAGACAGAACCGGTCGGGAAGCCTGCTGGCCCGCCTGGCTTTCTCCTGGTTCCCCTGAGGTTCCCGGCGTGCGTGCGGGCTTATCTGCCACGCTGAATGGGCTCCTCTGTTCGGCAGCAGCTTGCCCCTCTGGGGCGGGGGGGGGGGGGGGGGGATCTTCACCCTCCCCCGCTCCTCACCCCGTGGCACCATCACTAGCTCCTGGCTGCTCCCCTCTCATCTGCCCAGGGACAGCCTCTTCCTAAAACTCCCCATCAGCCCTTGCGACAGAAGCAAGCTGTTTCATCCCCCCAGATCTAGAGCCTCGTGACCAAGAATGGGGATTTTTTCTAATGATTTGATGTGTTTGGGCTTTTCATTTGTCCTAAACCAGTGGTTCTCAACCTTGGCTGCACATTAGAATCACCTGGGAATCTTTTTAAAATCCTGATGTCTGGGCCTCACCCTCCGGAAATTCTGTTTCTTTGTTATGGGGTGGGGCCCCACCATTAGTAACACAGAAACAGAATTTCCGGAGGATGAGGCCCAGACATCAGGATTTTAAAAAGATTCCCAGGTGATTCTCATGTGCAGCCAAGCTTGAGAACTACTGTCCTAAACACTGAACTAAGCGCATGTGACATGCTAACCATTCCAGCCGAGCGAGACCCAGTGCCTGCTGGGTGGAGGAGCTGAAGGTGTAGCCGGCCACGGAGACGTGCAGTCATCCCAGCGCCAGGTGTGCAGGGACAGGGCGGGGCGCCGCCAGGCAGCGGTGACTTCTGCCCGGGGGTGTGCTGGGAAGCCCCGGGCGAGAGCGAGCTCCCGGACGGTTCCCAGAACCAGGAGTCAGCCCGGTCCTCCCTGTCGAGTGGACGTCAGTGGCTGGACAGGGAGGAAGTCAGAGTCCAAGTGGGAAGATCCAACAGCCAAGGGACCTGAGAGAATGTGGCGGGACCGGGAAATGGTGAGTGGCCGGTGGCCAGGGCCTGGGTCTGATGGGGAAGGGCTGGCGCGTGAGCTGAATCTTGAAGTGCCACACGCTGAGGAAATCAGAACACCCTGTGGGGGACAAGAGGACGTGGCCAGTTTTTAAAGTGGCATCCGTCAGCCTGGGCATGGGGAGTAACCCTGATGGCGGGGTGTTTGGGTGCCTCTCTGAGCGTGTTGTTCCCGTCAAAGGGACTGTTTCCTGCCTGGATCCTTCCCCCCATTGGCTTCAGTGTCTGCTCGGGCTTTGAAGGGACACAGCAACCAGTGGTTTTTCCTGACCTCATTCTCCTGGCCCCGTGTCGGCCCCGTGAATCAGCCCGGTTCTGAGTTCCGTGGGTCAGGAATGTGGACCCATGGGTGTGAATGGTGGGGGCGGGGGGGGGGTAGGCTGCTCTGATGGACAGAAGAGCATCGTGGCCTCGGCGCCTGGCCTCTGCGCCCACCTGTGTGCCCTCAGGGGCGTGACGTCGTGGGGCCCTGTGTGCCCGTGTGCTCTTATTAGAAATCATCTTGTTAGTTAGGCGCGGGAGACGGCCCGCCTCCTGGAGTCTCCGTGACAGGCAGTACATTGCTGCACGTGGACATCATTTGAAGGCCTGAGGCCCGAGAACCTCGCAGGCGTTGATTCGGGTCCCTCTCCCGGCCCTCCCAGGGCTGCTTCGCCGGGTCCTCATGTGGAAAGGACGCTGCCTGGGAAGGGCCCGGAGGGAGCCCGGCTCTGGGACCAGGATGAACTGCACCTGTGAGTGCCCCTCCCTGGTTTAAAAAGTGCTCCCTTTGTCCTCCCTCCACACGGGGGCATTCCAGGCCGGCTCCCGGGAGAGGGTGGTGGGGTCTAAGGCCGGCTGCCCCTCTCCTTCTGGAAGCCCGGCCAGGCAGCTGGCCAGAGAGGGCCAGGTGACAGGTGAGCCAGGTTGCCCGGCCTGCGTTCTGTGGGGTCTGCACCTGCCTGCACGTGATGATGCTGTGGGACGCTGTCTGGCCGCGTTTCCTTCCCTTGGTTTTGTTCCTAATGGCCCACAGCAGGGCTTCATGCCAAGGGCAAGAGAGTTCTTGGTTGGTGAGAACTGGGTTCTGTAAAGGGGCTGTTTTTCTACGAGTTCAAGTTCACTTACTCTTCATATTGGAAGTTTCCCCAAGACCCAGGGAGCCAGGTGGGCTGTCCGTGTGGGGCAGGCCCCTGGTATTGGCAGGGTGTCCGTGCCTCCTGGGGACCAGCCACTCAGAAACTCTTTACATAATGCCTCGTGCTCTCCTCGTTTCTTTCGTTGTGTTTTAATATGAACTTTGGGAAGGTGGGAGCTTACACTCCGGGGCGTAGACCGTGTAGGTGCTTGGGGCCCTGTGTGCCCGTGTGGTTGGTGGTTGGCGTTTTAGTTCTTCACCTTGGCCTTGGGCGGCCGCTTTGCCCTTTCTCGGATGAGAGAGGAGAGAGGCCCAGAAGAGGGCGTGGCTGCTCTCCAGACCAGTTTTAGAATTGAGAGTCAGACCAGCCACCGCCCACTCCATCGCCCAGTGTGCCATTGGCTTTAGGGGACCAGGCGACAGAGCAGGTGGAGAGAACTGGGTTCTGGTGCACAGACATGGATTCGAGTCCTGGTTCTGCCTCGGATGAGTTCTGTGACCCTGAGCGAGTCACGGGATCTGCTGAGCTCTTTTCTTTCTGGTGAATTGTCTCTGCCATCACCTGCCTCGGGGCTGAGCATCATAAAAATCACGTGTGGAAGCCCCAGCAGCTCCACAGACGTTACAGGACAGAGGAGGAGGAGGAGAGAACCGTGTTGAAAGGAGGTTCCTCATGCCGGGCTCTCAGAGCATGAACCCCCGTCTCCTGGGCCTGGGCCACTGCCACAGGTCCCCGAGGTCTGTCCCCTCCACCCAGGCTGCACGCGTTTGTACAGAGCAGGCGACAGACCCCGTGCTGGCTGCCCTCCAGGTTCTGGCTCCCCTCAGAGCGTCATGGCTCAAAGGAGGAGTAGAGGGTAGGCGTGGGCCCTGGGCGGACAGACCTGTCTTGGGCAGAGCTGCTTGGGGTGACACAATCCGGGTGACACAATCCAGTCTGATCACCGCCCACCATGGGAGGCAGAGCCGTGGCCAAATGCATCTGGTCTCTCCCTCTGAGCACACACCTTCTCCTGAGGCTGAGCTTGGAAGTGGCAAGGGACCCGGAGGTGGGAACAAAAGCTGGGGTGTCCTGGCGCTGGGGCTGCTGCCCCGCCTGCCTCCCACGCCACCTGTAGCTGGTTTACCTCCCACAGCTCCTCCCCAAGGAGCTATGAACCTCGCTCTGCCAGATTCTGAAGAAAAGGGGGCTTTTCTTGAGAACTCTACCAGCTAATCCCGTTTGCAGCTGTTGTTACAGTCATCGGCATCCTCTGCTGAGGACCTCATGCGAGGCAGTGGCCCGGTACAGCCGGTCTCAGCCCAGCCCTGTGAGGGAGTGTTATCACCATCCGCATTTAACAGACGAGGAAACGAAGGCTCAGAGCCATGAGGGGGCTGGGCCTGTGTCGCACCGCGGGCAAAGGGCTGCAGCTGGGATTCAAATTTCTGTTTGCTTGGCTCCAAAACCTTTGCTCCCGCTGCCACCTCACCTCTCGCTGCCCATCAGCAAGTCCCTTGGGCTTGGCCTGTCCTGCAGAGCCCTGGCCAGCTTGCTGAATATACTGATGCTTTTCTAGCTCTCGGGCTAATAGGACCAAATGCCAGCCAGTGGTTCTCAGCGAGGCTGCGCGTTAGGTGATCCGGCCAGTCTCTGTACCAGACTGCAGCCCAAACCAAGTAAGTCAGGACCCTGGCACTTGGACCGGGACCACAGTGGGGAAGCTCCCAGGTGATGCTGATTGTCAGCCAAAATGAAGCCCACTGCGCGGACATCTGGCCTGTGGCAGGGGGGCTCGTTTGAGTTATGGAGGCAGCTGCCTGCGCGCCTTCAGGAGGCCACGGAATTCTGCAGCCAGTCCTTTAGGGGGCCCGCTCCACGCGGCCAGTTTCCAGATCGTGCTGTGAAGGCTCTTTTAGTTAATAGTGACCTTCGGCCTGTGGGCTTACAAGCAGCACCGAACTCCCAGCGCGGGCTCCTCGGAGACGGGTGCTGGCACCCAGGCCTTTGTTTGGAAGGGGAGGTGGGCATTGTCTGCAGGGTTACCAAGACGATGGCCGGCGAGACCTGGGTGCGCGTCCTTTGTTAGTGCTCAGGTTGGGGCATTTAAATGTTGCAGGTGGGGAAGGATAAAGCACAGATCCAACTCTGCATAATGCAAACACATGGAAACTGGGTTTTAAAATAAAAGGCTACTAGTTTTTAAATCCAATCTTGTACCTTGAATAGGTGTTCCTTGGTTGCCTAGGCAACTGCAGGCAGGCAGCCTGACATCTAGCAGGCCTGGTTGGATCTGGGCGCTGGATTTATCAAATTCCAACACTTACCAGCTCGGTGCCCTTGCCGGGGTGCCTGTGAAGACTAAAGAGAATGGATTCAGCCTCTCACAGTGCCAGGCAGAGTGCATGCCCAGCACATGTGCATGCTCCTCCCTTCCTCCCCTGCCCCATGTTGGTGAGGGGTGCCTGCCCTGCCCGCCCAGCAGTAAATGAGGTGAAACCCCTAAGAACAGAAGGGCTGGTCTAGGCAGGAGTGTTACCCACCGGCCGGGAATAAAGGAACCGCCTGGCCTCTTCCTGGGACCCCGCCCAGCCCCGGGGCTGCGAAGTGCCGGGTCGTAGACCTTCTCACTGGACATGGGAGTGGGGGACGACGGTTCTGGCCCAGGAAGAAAGACCACCAGGATGCAGGAGTGGCTTTGCCACCCTCGGTGAATTTGGTTTTGGAGGGCAGTGCCTCTCGTAGGATCACCTCACAGGCTGACCATGTCCTATTTGGGATTGTTCCCTAGCAACACAAAGGACCATGTCCGCTTCACTTATTGGCAGGATGTGTGTGTGGAGGGGGGATGGGCGGTCTTGCATTCACTCTGTTTTTCCTAGGGACCGGCTAGCTCTCTGGCTTCAAGGCAGGAGGGCAGCACCAGCCCTCTGGTGCGAGAGAGAAGGCATTTAAGACGCCTCTTGGACAACACGTCCCTGGCTGGGTTTCCTCCGTCTGCCTTTCCTTTGGTTCACGTTGCAACGAAGCTGCCTGTTCTCGACAAGTGCCTGTCACGGGTGTCATTCTCTTTGCAAATGTCCTTGCTGTCCGTCCCCTTTTTCTCCCCAAACTCTGAGATGTTGCTTTCCTCTTAAATAAGAATCGCCAGTTACGTAATACAATTCATCATGGTAAGGTCGACTCTCCAGTAACTCCTTCCGCAAGTGTTCCTGGGCCAGGACCCGAAAACATTCCGCATTTATCTCCGTAGGCCCTTGGGGAGGAGTTTCTGATCTTCCTGCGGTACTGGGCTGCCCTCCAGCTTTCCTACAGTCCGCCCGGAGCCTCGATGCCGCCCTTCGAGTCTAAAAGAATGCGAATTAAATGCGAATTAAAGAAGCCGGGCGCTCTTCGGGGATCGCGCTGATGTGGGCCATTGGTTGCTCACTCTGCCCGGCCCGCGGTTAGCCCCGCCCCGACCGCGCTCAGCCCCGCCCACCGCGCTCAGCCCCGCCCCGCCCGCTCTCAGCCCCGCCCACCGCGCTCAGCCCCGCCCACCCGCGCTCAGTCCCGCCCACCCGTGCAGCGAGGCTCCTACCTCTGCTTTTCTGGTACCTCTGCTTTTCTGGTTGAAAATTCAGCCTGAGGCTGCGCGGTAGTTGACCGCAAGCTCCCAGTGTTAGGCTGCGAGGTGGTCCGTCTCCCTAAGCGGGTCCGGAGGCGCAGGCGCTGGGCGGAGTGTCGGTAGCAGCAGGAAAACAACCGTTTCTTGGGGCTTTTCGCATTTCCCTTTCTCCCCCTCCGGCTGTGGCTTTAGTTCTCCCCGTTGGAGAGCAGTTAACATGGGTGCAGAGAGGGTTAAGGAGTCAGACTCTTCCTGAACCCTCTCCCCAGCAAATGCAGTTTAAAACAATGGCTTCTAAGTTTATTCAAAACACGTCACACATCCATTGTAGACAACTGGATAAATCTAGAAAACTATAAAGAAATGAAAATCACCTGTGCTCACCCGGTTGGATTTTTTTTTCCTTAAGCATTTAAAAAAATGGCTTTCATACTGTCAAAAGGCTATTTCAGTACTCTCCTTTGGGTTACTCTGATAAAGAAGAAAATTTCCATTCTCTTATCTGCCTGCTCCTTTAAAACCACTTCAAAAGGGAAGTGGAATATTAACGCGGGTCAGTCCCCACAATTCGGCTTTCTTTGACATTCTCCCAAGACCACGGAATTTCAGAGTCGGGTGTTATTTTTGAGCTCATGTGGTTAATCCTTCCGTTTTGTGGACTGAGACCAGAGTGACTGACAGGCCTTGCTGGGGGATGCTAATTAGCCCAGGCCTGGACTCGGCTCCCGGCCCCAGGAGCACTGACTCTGACCCTCATTTGCAGGTGGGAAATTTAAAGTCAAGGCCGGGAAGGGGAAGAGGGAAGCATTAGAAAGGAACAGTTTTCCTTAGACTTCTGGAACATTCTGATTTCTTTTTACAAATGAACACAAAGTGACATTTTCTAAAACTCCGGGTAGAGGCTGTCCCCACTGGGAGAAAACACCAGCACGAGGCGCGTCGAGGCCTGGCTCTGCCGGGAGCGGCACCGGCTCTCTGGGCCGTGTGACCAGTCCTGGAGAAGTTGGCCCCTGCCAGCTGTGTGCCTTCCGGGCCAGCCAGCATTCTCTCTCCTCCATCGGTAGCATTTCTGCTGGGCCTACCCCCTGGCCCTCCACTCTGCCTGCCCTGTTTTTCCTGCTTGGTAAACACCTGTGTTTACCTGTGCTTACTCGTTGACACCTGTGCCACTTCCCGGGAAGCGTCACTCATCACTCGGGAAAAGTCTTCCGTTTGAGCAGCTTAGGATAAGTTGATTGTGAGGATGGTTGTCAAGACCAAGGAAGAACCTGACCAGAGCCTTAGCCCAGGCTGGCCCTCTGACTGGGACGTGTAATGGTTATAAAAAGCCGCCTCCTAGTGGCCCCAGCTTATCGCGAGGGAGACGGGGCACAGACACGCGGGCCGTCACACAGCTGGTGAACGGCGGAGCCAGAATTCCACTGGGCCGGCTCCAGAGACCACGCCGCTAACACCAGACTCGACTGGTTGGTTCCGACAGGGCTCAGCCCTTCCCCTGTGAGGCAGCGCATGGAGGCCGTCTGCACGGGCGTCTCAGGTTCCTCCCTCTTGAGTGAGTCTGGGGTCTGGCACTAGCCACTGGCCTTCCTTTGATGTCTTTCCGAGTATTCACGTAATGCCGGTACAAGCTTGATACAGCAGGCGAAATACAACAACCCATGAACTGCCTGTAAGATGGACTAATGCATGACACGATGTCTACAGGTGAAGCTGGTCACCTGCGCTCACCCTGGCCTTGCGGTCAGTGTTCGCCACGGTCTCCCCACCACCCCCCGCCCCCTCCACTCTGAGGACGGAGGAGGGTGCACGGAGAGGTGCTCTTTACATCGTAGCTGTTAGTGGAGGGAACACGTGTATGTGAGGCCTGTTGCCATGGAAGGAGGGGTTCTCCAACTCCCCCCATCACTTTCTCTGGCTCCAACATCTGCAGCAGTTCTCAGCCTGTGGGTCGAGACCCCGGAAAATACATCCTTCGTATCAGATATTTACATGACGATTCATAACGGTAGCAAAATTACAGTTATGAAGTAGCAACGAAAATAATTTTATGGTTGGGGGTCCCCACCACATGAGGAACTGTATTAAAGGGTCGCGGTATTAGGAAGGTTGAGAACCACTGTAGTCTCTGGCACAGCCCGGCGCCCAGTGGAGTCGGTAGGTGTGACTCCCAGCAGGCCTAGAAGGTTCCGTGGGAGCCCGCCTCCCCTGCCTGGAGCCACAGCCAGAAGGGGTCTGAGTCCCAGGCCTTCTGATCCTGGGGCTGGGCTTGTCTGAGGTTCAGATGAGGTTAGAGCATTAGGAGGAAGGAGACGACCTTAAAGCCACCCCTCCCCTCCCCTCCCCTCCCCTCTGAAGGAAACCTCAAACAGCTCCTTCTGCTCGTCTCCTCCCCCCCCTCCCCCCACACACACCTCTTCCTGCTTTCTCTGCCTTGACACAAAGGTCTCTCCCCAGCCTGGTGGCACCTCGCCTGGGCGCTAATAATAGCGAGGGTAGCTCTGCCAAGCAGTGAATCAGGAGTCTGTGCTCTGCGCGGCCATCCTGGCAGCCTCTCGTCCTGGCAGCCTCTGGGGGCGACTTGGTAAAAACCCTTTGTGAGCAGAAGGAGCCTTTGTGCGTCCCGGGAACTCCTGTCCCTCCCTGAGGGCGACCCCTCCTGGAAGGAGGATGGGGTGCCTCTGGCCTGCACGGTCTTAGGAAAACATCGTTTCCAATAGCTCTAGGCCTCCAGCCCGCGGCGGCCGGAGGGAGGGCTGGTTGGCTTGGCCGGGGACCTGCCAAGGTGACCAGGGACAGAGAGGAAGAGAGGGTGAGGGTGAGGCACCTCCGTGAGGCACCTCCATTTAGCGCTACTTGAAAGGCAACACAGTGCACTTCCCTGAGTCCTTTTCAAAATAAGAGAAAAGAAAAGCGAAACCTCTTGAGGTTTCCCCTTTAAAACAAAATCCAAAAGCCCGCCGCCCCACTCAGCGGGGTTTTGGAACTTGCGTGGATAAACTTATTTAGAAATTACTGGAGAACCGCTCTGGGCAGCCACCTCACGTTCCTCCTAAGTCCAGATGGGATGCACATCGACGAAGGGATTAAAATAAAACACTTCCAGGCTTGGGGTTATTTTCAAGGCACTTTTGCCAGAGAATCGCTTGGCTGGGGCCTGCTGTGTGGTTCACAGAGCGCTTTCCCATGTGCTTTCTCACTCGGTCGTCGCAGGAGCCTAGGGAGCCGGGCAGGGCGTGTCGTGCTATCATCCGTGTTTCACACACGGGGAAGCCACGGGTTTGGAATGTCAAGTGGTCTGTTCAAGGTCGCACGGGGGTGGAGAGCTCAGTCTCACCTTAACTGCCCTGCTTCCCACTGAGCTGAGCCAGGTCCCTTTGAACTTAAATGAACTCACGGGTTCTTTATGTTGCCTGGGGACCTGCCGGTCCTTGCTTTTCTGAACGGCTTTCTTTTCTCCTGTAGAATTTGCATGTCAGATTGGAGCCAAGATGGCGGTTTTCACGGTGCCCGCCCTCGCCGGCTTCTGCTCGGGCGTCGTGGCGTGGATTGGCTAGGGGTGCCCGTGATTATGCTCTGCGTTGCTCTAAACATCAGAACTACCTTGCAGGTAATCGTGAGTCAAGAGGCCCTGCACCGAAGGCACCCGGCAGCAGCCAGATGTTCATTTTAATAAATGGAAACTATGACTCAGAACCGGAGCCAACCTGACCCTCCAGGCAGGCAAATTAAGCCGTGGACTGACGTCTCCGTCTCTGGATTGTAGAGAATGTGGGAGCAGGGGGCCCAGGCTCAGCCAGTTTCATTTATTTCTTCTCACTTCTTCTATTCAGTCTTGTTTAGACTCCTCTGCCCAGACTGTATTGAATATTCTACCAAAATTCTGCAGGAATGCGGGTAGATTCTAATAAGGCTCAGAAGGCTGGGTTGGGGAAGTTCTCCAATGGAAATGTGCCCGAGGGGGTGCGTGTGAGAAGCCAAAGTCCAAGGAAGACGTTGGTCCTGCTGATAGCAACAACCTGCATCTGTAGAGCCCGTGAGAGTGTCCAGAAAACCTACCTGTCTCTCTCTGCCTTGCTCCACGCGGGCTCAGCAGCCGAAGACGTGAGCAGGGCGCTCATCTCTCCCGTCTCAGAGAGGAAGTGGGAACCCAGAGGCCGGGAGGTTGAGTAACTTGCCAGGAGTTCCACCGCTAGGAAATGGCGGGGCTGGGCTCGGTGCCGTGTTCTTTCCAGTCCGCCTTCCAGCCCCCTCTCCTCTCCCCTTGACACCCCCCCGCCCCCCCGTCCCCCCCCCCCGCTCCCCTGCGCTCCCGGGGCTCCTGGCCATTCATTCCCTTTGCTTAGAGCCACGCCCCACCTAAGCACCTCTAAAACCCTGATGCCACCACCCCCCCATGTAAGTCTTATGATTCCAAAAGTGAGCTCCTATTCACGTGGAGGAACCCTAAAAGGAAGAATGAAAGGACAGTTGAAGTGCTGAGGAAGGAGTCACTAAGAAATTGCAAAAAAACAATATGAAGTGATATGAAAAAATAGCAAATAGTTTCAAAACATATAATAGAGAACTGAAGTGCATAAATATGTCACAATATATATTTATATACTGTAGATGAGGCCCCTAGAACCATGAGAAATGCAGAACGTTCACTGTTAATAACGCATTCGCGAATTGCCCCCCTTAAACATCACATCGCCCCCCTGTGGGCGTGCCCGACCTGGGCTGGGGCGTGAGGATGTTCCCGTGTTGAGATGCGGCTGGGCCCAGGGACCGTGTCTGCCCTGGTCTGTGCTGTCGGCGTGGGGTGAGGGGCCGGGTCTCAGGCAGAGGCTCGTGCAGGCGTTCCCCGTGTGGCTGCTGCGTGCACGCTGCCAGTGGAAAGTAGTAAGGGTTCCATTTTCCTGTTTCAGCGAGCATTTCCCCCTCGGGGTTAGAGTAACCACTTCCTCCTCAGCGCCCAGTGGAACGTGGTAAACACCCGGTGCTGCCGCACATTCCCTTCTGAGAGCCCCGGCGGGTTCCTTTTTTAACCCTCTTGACTTTGCACATGCGGGCACACACAGACATGCACACGCACACACACACACAGACATGCACACACACAGGCACGCACACGCACACACACAGACAGACATGCACACACACAGACACGCACACGCGCACACACACACAGACATGCACACACACACAGGGCACGCACACGCACACACACACACAGACATGCACACACACACAGACACGCACACGCGCACACACACACAGACATGCACACACACACACGACATGCACAGACACACTGGCACGCACACGCACACACACAGACATGCACACGCACACACACACGCACGCACACGCACACACAGACACGCCCACGCACGCGCACGCACACACATACACACTCACACACAGACGCACACACGCACACACACAGACACGCACACACACAGACATGCACACGCGCGCGCACACGCACACACAGACATGCACACACGCGCACATGCGCACATACATGCACACATACACACGTGCGCTCGCACAGACACGCACACGCACACACAGAGGCACGCGCGCACGCACGCGCGCACACGCACACACATACACACATACACACATGCACGCACACATACACACACGCATACACACAGACACACACAGACACGCACACGCACACGCACGCACACACGGGGTTCTGAAGGACAGGCCCCCCTCCCCTCTGGGTGGCAGTTCTCGGGCCTCTGCAGGGGCCTGGGAAACAGAAAACCCGCCCAGGTCGGATGCGGGTCTGAGGCCTGCGTCCTCCTGCCTCATGTTGGAGGGACTCGGGTGGGAGTCAGCTGAGGAGGGGTGTGGAGTGGCTCGTTGTTGGAGTCGCTGGGTGAGCTGGAGGGGAGGCGTGGGGGCGGGCAGCGTGGTGGCCGCCTCGGGTCGTTAGGATGGTCGGGCGCAGACAGTGGCCGGGAGCCTCGGGTCGTTAGGATGGTCGGGAGCAGACAGTGGCCGGGAGCCTCGGGTCGTTAGGATGGTCGGGAGCAGACAGTGGCCGGGAGCCTCGGGTCGTTAGGATGGTCAGGCGCAGACAGTGGCCGGGAGCCGGGCAGGACTTGGTGGTTAGGTGATGGGACCAGGGAGCAAACGGGTTCCGCAGACGCCGAAAGGAGTGGGGGATGTAGGTAAGGGGTCAGTAAAGGGTGAGTACGACATTTAAAGAGAGGCCCTCGTTTTAGATATTTAAAAAATATGCCTGGCAAAAAAAAAAAAAAAAAAAGCCCGGCTCGCATGGCTCAGTGCTTGGGCATCAGCCTATGAACCAGGAGGCCCCGGTTCCATTCCCGGTCAGGGCACATGCCTGGGTTGTGGGCTTGACCACCAGTAGGGGGCGTGCAGGAAGCAGCCGATTAATGACTCCCTTGTTATTAATATTTCTCCCTCTTTCTTCCTCTCTGAAATCAATAAAAATCTCTTTTTAAAAATACCTTAATACTTTTTTCATCTTTGCTGGTTTGGGTTACAAGAACTTCTTCTGAATCCCCCTCCCCCCAGATTTTCTTAGAGCCTTTGAGACCATGGAATTTGTCACCAGAGAATTCTTGTGATGTGGGGCTGATGGCCCCTGACCCGAGGGCTTGGAGGCATCGTGGCTGTAAAGCCTCTGGACGCCCTGCTCAGCCAGCCATGCCCGAGACGGAGCCCCAGAGGGGGAGAGTCCAGCCACTCCTGGGCCTGTGCTTGCCTGTGTGCATCGTTACAGACAGCACGGAGCAGGCCGCGGGGCCCGTCTGGCAGGGCGCTCTGGGCAGAGCGCAGGAGCTTCCTGCAATTCTGGCAGGTTTGCACGACCGTCCAGATGCGGAAACGTCGATTGCAGATAGGCTTGCCGTGTCTCCTATGGTGTGCAGATAGGCGATACGCTGAAAACCCAAGGAGTCTAAACATGTCACATGTACCTAACGCGTGTGATGTGTAGTATGTATCGCTCTATGCCCACAGGCTCCAGAGGGCCTGTCAGACCTGTACGTCCAGAGAATGTAGGAAAATGAGGAGGTGGCTGCACTGGTGGCTGACTCCCCCCTGGCTGGCAGGGCGCTCTGGGCAGAATAGGCAGGCACTTCCGGCAGCTCTGGCAGGTTTGCGAGGGCCTTCCCCCAGTCCCCCCACTCCCAGGCCAGACGGAACCTGCATGTCCACAACTTGTCCAATGCATCCCTGTTTTATTTTATTATTTTATTTTTAATGTTTATTTCAGAGAGAGGATGGGAGAGGGAGAGAGAAACATGAATGATGAGAGAGAATCACTGATCGGCTGCCTCCTGCACACCCCCCACTGGGGTTTGAGCCTGAAACCCGGGCATGTGCCCCGACCGGGAATCGAACCGTGACCTCCTGGTTCATGGGCTGGTGCTCAACCACTGAGCCACCCGGCTGGGCCGCTGCCTCTCGGTGTTAGATGGGAGCATCTGGAAGAACGTCCTTGCTGCGCGCTTGGTGCCGTGCAAGCATGTTCTCCCTTGTCAGACGATGCTGGTTAGGATGGGCATTGCCTGAGTGGCAGGTTCTCTCATCCTGGAACCAGGGTATGGAAACCCTGTTTCTGGAACCTTCCTCCTGTCCATCTGCCCGAGGCCACGCCTCTCGGAGGAGCTCCTGCTCACACCTGGGATTCCTTCCAGGACCCACCTCCCCCTAGTGCACCTGAGGCCGCTCCCACCCAGGCCCACAGCAGGCTCTTCGTCTCCAGCCCCAGCTCCTTCCCGCTTCCCGTTGTCAGGATGTTCGGAAGCCACCTTCTTCCAGGGGCCACGCCTCCAGGTGCCAGTGGGAATCGGGAAGCAACCAAAAGACAGTCATGGTCTGAAGCAAAGAGGTTTTTTGATCCCTCTTCCTCTTACCTGGACACGTCCCCTGGCCTCAAACGTGGTCCTGTTTGGTTTTACCTTTTCTCATGTGCTTTCTGTTCCTCGATCTACTCTATACACAGACTGAGTGACCTTTTTAAAACATAAGCCAGCCCGGCCGGTGTGATTCAGTGGTTGAGTGTCGACCTATGAACCAGGAGGTCACAGTTGGATTCCTGGTCAGGGCTCATGCCTGGGTTTCAGGCTCGATCCCCAGTGGGGGGCGTGCAGGAGGCAGCCCATCAGTGATTCTCTCTCATCATTGATGTTTCTCTCTCTCCCTCTCCCTTCTTGTCTGATATCCAATATATATATATAATATATATATTAAAGCATAAGCCAGATCATGACACTCACCCTCACAACCCTCCAGTGCCCTCCCCTGGCTGACATCAAATCCAGACCCTAAGTTGGCCTGAGGACCTCGGCGTGAGGGGAGGCGCTTCATCCCAGCTCCCCTTGCTCACGGTTCCAGCCTTTGTTGCTCTTGTTGGCCTTTCTCCTGCCCAGAAAGGCCCCTCTCTCTCAAGGAGCTCTGGATTTTGATCTCTTCTCTATGGAAGGTCCCCACGCTGCCTTCACCACTCCTGTCCCTGAATGTGCTTTGTGAATATGGGGGTGGCCCCTCCCCTGCCCCATCCTGGCTGCTTGTTATCGAAATGGCCCTCCCGGGTTCCATGGCATCTGCTCAGGGGACAGGGCTCGTCTTGACCGCTGGAACCTGCTCGGAGAAGGAAACTGTGTGTCTCTGTCGGAGGAGGGGGCTCCCTGGAGGGCGCTGTGTCCTCAGATCAACGCAGGAGCAGCACTGACCATGTTGGGGGAACCTGCTGGTGGGTGATCACACGTTTTAAATTGTAAAAGCAAACCAGCTGCGTTACAGACATTTCGGAAATAAAGAATGATGATCTATGTCCGTGGTCGGCA